GCAGACTTCTCAAACCTGACACAGAAAGTATGTTCCATAAAAGGAAAAAATTTTAAATATATTAGTCTTCAAAATTTAAAAGTTTTGTTCAGCAAAAAAGCCTGTTAGGAGGTTGGCAAGATAAGCTGTGGACCTGGGAGTACATATTTGCAAACCACAGGTCTGACAGGGGCGTCATATCGAGAATATAAGGAATGCTCAGAACGTTGCCCTTCTGGCAACGGCCTACATGTGTTCGGCTCTGCTGGGGACACCTGGAGTGGGGGACCCTGGATTTTCACAGACGACTGGACATGTTTCCTTCTTTCTGTCCTCAGGTCTTAAGGTTCCATGGGAATGATGAGAGCTATGAAGCCAGCAGGGCCGGGCCTAGGGCGGGGCACGTTCTTGGGCACAAAACTTAAGGGGGCAGCAAAGGACTCTGTCATCACAATAAACAGTGAGGCATTTTGTGAAAGCAAGACGAAAGCCATAAAATCCATGCTGAACAAAATATCAAAATGTAAATGCGGGCAAGTGAGTTCCTGTCTCAGCCACCACTCCAATCGTGGCCCTGGAAGGAAAAAAAAATTCAAAAACACAGATTTGGGAGAAACAAAGTAACATGTGCAATCCTAACACCGTCCATTTCTTTTGGTGGTGCAATCCTAACACCACCCCTTCAGCGCGCACAGGGCAGGCCCAGCTCCTGCATCTTTAGCAGCAGCAGCAGCTGGGGCCGCCCCGCCCCCTCCCCTTCTCCCGCGTGCATCCCTGGCTCTGGGCGGAGCACCTGCTCCAGCCCCGCAGGCTTCCCACACCCCATGCCCGGCCGCTCCTCTTCTGACCTCTCCTTCTCCATCTCGAGCCCCCTGGTGGGAAGACTGCCCACCCCCACCGCGCCCAGACTTGGCCGGGCTTTCCCACCAGCCTCTGCCTGTGCTTGCCTCATTCCAGGGCCTCGGAGCTCAGGCAGCTCCTGGAGGCTGACCCTACTGCGGGCCGGGCCCATGAGGCAGGAATGGACGAGAACGCCCTGCACTTAGGTTATCCTTTCCCTTCTGAAGCCAAACCGAACAGACGCACCTGCCTGCTCCCTGAGGTGGGGAAAGAGGTCTGGAGGGCCGGGGCTCCTGGAGTTTCCACCCTAGACGCGTGCCCGGCCAAAGACAGGGGCGTGGGGCTGCGTGGGGGGTGGAGGCCCTGAATCTTCTGTCTCAGAACGCTGACCCTCGGAGAAGGCGCAGGCACCGAGGACATGCACAGGGTCCGCGGGCTGCCCAAACTGTCTCAGGATGTCCCCTCTGTCCCGAGCACAGCCCCAGGCCGTAGAGTCACCACGGCGTCCACGCTCTCACCAAAGCGACCAGCCCTGCGCCTGGGGCCTGCATGGGCAGTGCTCGACCCCACAGATGATCGGTGGTGGTGCACGGGTGGCGCCCACACTGACAGGTGCACGTGGACATGCGCGTGCGGAAGGACGCAGGTCACTCTGGGCAGCAGTTCCCCTCGGGGACCCGCTCAGACGGGAGGAGGAGGACGCTCTGCACCGAGGCATCCCCGGGTTGGTGCAGCCGGCACACGTGCTTTAGGAGTGACAAACGCAAAGTGAAAAAGGACGTCTCTGCGTGGCGTGGTACCCCGGGGATGGTGCTGGAGCCTCAAAGTACAGCTGTGCGAGGGGTCTCCTGGCACCGCTGTGGGCCATGGGGGGGTCCCGGGACAGTGCGGACGCGGGACGCGGGGCTCAGGGTGTGTGTGGGGCCAGGGCCTGTCCCTCGGACGGGGCGGTCCTCATCCCCTTGCTGCTGCCCTGCTCCTCCTCCCCTCCCCACATGCCACACCCCCAAATACCCAGGGTAGGAACACGGAAGGTGGAGGGGAGAAGCCCTGCACAGTGCCCCGAGGGTCTGCAGGAGCTTCGCCCTGCCTCTGACTCGCGCACGTTATTCCTTTTTTTTTTTAATTGCATTTTAGGTTTTGGGGTACATGTGAAGAACATGCAAGATTGTTGCATAGGTACACACATGGCAGTGTGATTTCCTGCCTTCTTCCCCTTCACCTATATCTGGCATTTCTCCCCATGCTATCTCTCCCCAACTCTCCACCCCCCACTGTCCCTCCCTTATTTCCGGGACAGACCCCAGTATATAGTGCCCCCCTCCCTGTGTCCATGTGTTCTCATTGTTCAACACCCACCTATGAGTGAGAACATGCGGTGTTTGATTTTCTGCTCTTGTGTCAGTTTGCTGANTCTTGTGTCAGTTTGCTGAGAATGATGGTTTCCAGATTCATCCATGTCCCTACAAAGGACACGAACTCATCGTTTTTGATGGCTGCATAATATTCCATGGTGTATATGTGCCACATTTTCCCTGTCCAGTCTATCATCGATGGGCATTTGGGTTGGTTCCAGGTCTTTGCTATTGTAAACTGTGCTGCAATGAACACGAGGCCAACAAACATATGAAAAGATGCTCATCATCACTGGTCATTAGAGAAATGCAAATCAAAACCACATTGAGATACCTTCTCACGCCAGTTAGAATGGTGGTCATTAGAAAATCTGGAGACAACAGATGCTGGAGAGGATGTTGAGAAATTGGAAAATTTTTGCACTGTTGGTGGGAGTGTAAATTAGTTCAACCATTCTGGAAGACAGTGTGGCGATTCCTCAAGGACCCAGAAATAGAAATTCCATTTGACCCAGCAATCCCATTACTGGGTATATATCCAAAGGATTACAAATCGTTCTACTATAAGGACACATGCACATGAACGTTATTCTAACCTGTTCCTGGGCGTACTTTACCCCGAGAGCACCAGCCCCTGCCTCCCCCTCCACACCCAGGCGCCAGTGCCTGCAGATAGCGTCTCCCTGTGCAGCATAACACCCTGCAAAGCTCCACTTGCCTAACCAGCCGTGCTGACGGCCTCCAGTTCCTGCTCAGGGTTCAACGTCCAGCTCTGCAGAACTGCCTCAATTTAAAAGAAAAGACAGGACTCCATCCGGAAACGATCTCTCCCTGGTTTCTTGCTTATTGAGCATTTAACCTATTTTTTTTTTTCTCGAGCACCAAAGAGTTTCTGCAGCCCCCTAGAAGCCCCCGCTCCCTCCCCACTCTTCCATGAGGGCCTGGAGTTCTCGCACGGCCTGTTTCCTAGTTCTCCAGCAGTCTGGGTCTTTCGGTGCGAGCAGCTGCCCTACCCTGAGTTACCCTGGCTTAGTTCCACTTGGAAGTAAACATTTCTGTCATTTATCATGATCAAGCTGGAAGGAACTAGACCAGCAAGTGTGAGGCAGGGTGTGCAAAAGGGCACGCAACACACACACGCTTTGCAGTGCTAGAGAAAACATGGAGGACACATTTTCACTTCCTAAGTAAAATGACGAGACCAAGATCAGAAAATACAGTGACGAAATCGTACTATGATTTATGTTGTGCTGAATATTTATTCACTGTGTTAGCGACACAGGAAGATAATGTTACAGCCTTAATATGATATTTTTGATGAAATTTTATTTAATGACTATCGGCAAAGTTTTCTGTGTGCCTGAGGCCTTGTGCTAGGCATACTGATGCCTCGGCTTAAAAATACCACACCTCGCACAGAATATTAGTCAATAAAACTGCCATATTTTCTCCTAGGTTTATGAAGGACAAAGATCTGACCCAAATATCGGCTTTGGAATCTTTGGGGCCTAAATGATAATCTGTAATTGACACCGCCAAGACATTGAATGATTTACCAACTCATCCATTAGTACATGGTGTTCAATAGTGGTACTCACCTATTGGGATTGCCATGGATTTTTGTATGACTTACGTTCTGCCTTTGTATATCCTATGACAGTAGTGAACTCAGTTTTCGAATGTTCAAGCAGAGGATGACTTAGGTCCTTGGCTGCTAGTCAGTTTCCCTCATTCGGCCACTGTTTTATTTATTTATTGATAGCCTACATGATAATGGCTAATGACAGAGTGCCAGGCATTATGAAAATAGATAAGGGGGTGGTCAGAGCTCTGATGGAAATTATATTCATATATATATATATATATATATATTTTTTTTTTTCTCACATACAAAGAACTATTCACAAGTTAATAAGCCATATATGCTCAACTAATGAAGTTCAAAGGGAAAGAAACTACAGTGCTCCTCAGTGGGGGTGGGAGCCATCCGCACTAAGCAGGTTTTATTGCAATGAGCACGGAGAGTCACCTAGATGAAGGGGTGTGAGTACATGTGTTTTGTTTGCTTGGCTACTTTTGGTTGGTGTGTGTGTGCACAAATAGGTCTACCAGGTGATGGAATGAAAAAAGGAGTCTTTCTCTGGACATTAGTTGTGTTCCTCAGTCTGTGCCACACAGTGTCCTAAAAATTGTAATCATTAAAGTTCATATGCTTAATAGTGCTTATCGGGACTTTTTTCCAACCAATGAAACTCAATTTTATGGTGCCCTTGAGTCTTGATAATAAAACTCAAGGACAGCAGTCTTGTATTTGCCTGCATTTCCCATCAGGTTGAAGGAAATTACAAGCCTTTCTTGGGTTTTAAGAATATTCGACGTGCATTATTTCTGTTGATGTATTCATTTGTACTGAGATTCATATTTTAATTCAGAATTTCAGCAAGGTGTAGCACTTGAAAAACTAATAAAGCCCTCGTGCAGCTTGGATTTAGTATGAATACATCTCAGGCTGGTACAATGCTACTTACAGAGTGTTGTAATAAACCATACCAGTATCTCAAAAGAGATGCTTTAATACCAAATGTCTCATTTATAACTAATTACTAATGGACAATTGCTAGGCTGGACAAGTGAACAAGGACAATTAATTGAGGTAAACAGGCTTGGACAGTTCCAGTTGAATGGAAATTTCCACGCGATGTGCTTGCCTGTCTCTTTGTAAAGAACTGTGTGCAGAATTCCACTACTGCACCCCCACCACTTGAAAGCCAGCCCATCTAATTTAATGCTCTTTTTAGCTCAGCAAATTCTGATTTGGAGAGTTGATGTGCATGGATTTTTGTGCAATCCTATTTACAAACCAACTGAAAAAAAAAATAAAGAGTTCCAATCCCAGAGTACACTGTGTAGCTCCGAGCATGCCAGAGAAGGCAGCTGTGGTGCACTTGTGATGTCCTCTGAGGGCTCCGGGCGCTGTCCTCACCACGGCGGTGGGTTCCGCTGCCTGAGTGGATCCATTACAGCAACTCGAGCTTCAGGTGGTCCTTTATAACCCAGCTCAAGAGGATGCGTCTCCAAGACTCAGGAGGAGCATAGCTGTGCCTCAGCTGCAATGTTCTGTGACCTAATCTGAGGGGAAATTCGGGTGGGTAAATTTGTTCCAAAACACATTGTTGCATTGTTGTGGTGGTGGTTGCTAAGTCCAATCTCCAGTGAATATATTCTGGAATTAGTTATAAACTATCGATATTATAAAAGCCCTAAAACAGGAAATCCTGTTGTGGTGGTCACAGCTCAGTTGATAAAATGACCTCCATACAAAGAAGGGCCAAGTGAATGAAAGGTGGCCGCAGGTGCGGAGGAAGCTGGACGCCTTCACGGACAAGGGAGGCCCAAAGCGTTCCAGGTCGTATCCTCTGGTTGGTGGAATTATTTGAAACATTCTTTTTTTTTTTTTTAAGCTCCTGGTTCAACTTTAATTTGCTCTGCCCTTTAGAAGAATGCAGACTGCAGCTGCGGCCCCTGCCCTGGCCCTGGCCACCCACTGATGGTCTGAGCTATCTACACACCCTTTGGCCTTCTAGTCAGTTACTTCTAAAAGCTCTTTAAAAGTCTTAAGAAGATGACAAAGTGATTTTACTGGTACTGTGAGTTCTTCTGAGTTGCTCTTATACTGATTTTCCATTAATGTGATTGTTTTAATAATAACCTTTGCCAAAGGTTTCTAAAATACCATACAATCTCAAGGTTCAAATTCTGGACGAAAAATAATGTTTTGCTGAAATGACCTTCCAAAGAGAACACTTTGCTTGGTAATAAGAATGACAGGTTCAGCATTATTCTTCAACTACCAGAAGAAAAAATAATCTTGACTTTGCCAGCTAATTGACTTGCTTACTAATTGATTTAAAATGTCCTTTGACTTTAATGAGTCGGTACTTGCAATAGTAGTTTATAAGATTAAAGTACGCACTCTCAAATATTAACTCTTTAATCATGTCATAATCCAGTAGGGGTTTGGGGAACCGGCGACATGATATTTAAAATAGTTAAATAATTCTGGAAACACTTTGGTGGCCTTTCACATTGAATGACAGAATGTGATGTCACTACTTACACTTGCTGTTTCTATTTTATGTACACAAACCAGGCCAGGGGGTCAGCTGTAAACTCACATTCTATTTTGATGACATTAACATAACTTTCAGTTCTAATCGGAAAAAGCCAGAATTTAAGTACAGCAAGAGTATTAATGCTGTTCCACCAGGAGGGAAATAAAAATGGGACCTCAGAGTGAACATGTGGTCCTTCTGAATTTCCTCCTGGACCTGGATGGGACTCATGGTTGAAACAGAGTTCCTGAAACATTTCCACCGTGACTCAGAGTGAGCAGGAAGGGTGGGGCGGCCTCTTTGTTTTCTTGCAAGGTTAATAGCTTGTACCTTAGAATGAGCCAGAGCACAGCAGGGGTAACAGAACGTCGCTTTGCCGTCATGAAGCCCATGTGGTGGACGAGCCACTGAGAACCTCCCCTGACTACGTCAGGCTGTTTGCAGTATGCATGGGCCTTGCCCTCTGCAGACCAGGGGAAGGCTGTGTCTGAGACTTAATCTAAGAAATGATCATTCTTTAAATTCTACAGGTGAAGAGATATAAACGGAATTTTAATTATAATTTGCCTAAAATGTATTTCTTGTAGAGGATAGGCATCCCTGTGCGTATGCAAAGTCTTGGAAGAAAAATATATGTTGATAAGGCTTGACGCTTGACTAAGGGACAGAACAAATAGCACACTGGCTTTTCTGTTTTCCTTAACGCTGATAACATCCGAAGAGGTGTGAATGTCTCTATGTAATTAACAGGGTGGCAAAAGAACAGGAACGGGATTCAGGGGACTCCAGAAAGAACTTTAATTTCTGTTCCTTGGCATGGGACACATGGGATGAAGTATTAATAGCTATAAATGCCCATAACAACTGAGATTTGATAATAAATTCAAAATTAAGTTCACACTTGAACTTTATAAAAAATACATACTTCATTTCCCTGTGGGCCATATACAAAATGTGAGCTGCAATCAAAGTCCTGGCCAGGGAGTTTCTGGTAACGTGTCTATTATGGGATGTATACTGAGAACAGTATTGATCACGGCACTTGCAGAAGACTTTCCAGTGTGTGTCTCCCCACCATAGACTAAGGGAAAGTCTTTCTGAGAGTCATTGTATTCTCACAAAAAAATTCTCCCAGGAAGGTCCTACACTCACACCTAATTTGCAGATTGAGGAAATGGGCCGAGAGGTTTGACAACTTGTGCAAGGCGGCGTGGCTGCTAAGCATGCACTCTTAACTACTGCACTATGCTGTCTGCAATATCCAACTGCCCTTTCCTTGACTCGGCACATATTTGAATTGGGAGAAGTCCTTCAGTATTTAAATCACAGATCACTAAATGGCAAAATAGCAGAAACAATGAGAAGTTAGATATTGCTTCATTCCAAGGGAAGAGAAATGACAAAACCGGTCAGGTTAGACAAAAGCTCAGCCTCCAAGAGCAATCAGATATAGTGAAGCCTGAGAATTCCTTATCTAAAAGTAATGAGACATGAGACGTTAATATGAGAAATTTCAGCCTGATTATAAGGAAATTTTCCAGTGACATGAACTGAACTGTCACTATATACCTAAAAAGAAATCATGAAAGTCCTTCGTATACGGCATTTTAGAAACTGACGGGCATGCAGGGAAGAACACGGGGTCACTGATTCCAGACATCTGTCCACCCACACTGTCATCTTTTTAGGGATTACTTTAAGGACCTCAGAAGCAGACAAAACAGCAGACTGTTAAAAGCATCTGTCAATATTTACCTAAACACGACAAAGCAAATGCTTGTGGCACGACCAGCAGTAATAAAATGATGGGACGACCACTCTTGGTCCCATTAGTTGAAACAATAGGAAAATGGGCCAACATGAAACTGTTGGTGCCTTTGCAGGGGAAAATCACCTCCCTAAAGAATGAAACACCATCAGCACCATCACTCATGAAAGCGATGCTTGACACTTCACATCTACCAGCAAACCTCATCCAGCCCGCAGCCCTCTGAGGAAAACACTGCTGATAGCTCCATGGTGCCCAGCAGGAAAGTCAGGTGCAGCTGCGTTAGGAGCTTACTCAAGTCCCACAGCCAGTACGTGGGACAGCACCACATTCCTCTGACTCTGATGAATGTGCTTTTGTCCGTGATATAATGCCGCAAATAAGTCTCTAAAATCCACCTTTAGTAGGTCGCGTGCACCAAAGTTTGTGCAGAGTACCTTCAAAAATGCGGTCCTATCGTGCCTTGCTAGTAATAGCTACGACGCTTAAACTGACGTTACATACATTTAAAATTAAGTCTGCATTGGAACTTGATGACACGTATGTATTTAACTTACTTCCCTGCAGGTCACATACGAAATGAGAGCTGGATTCCAAGGCCTTGGCCGGGGAGTTTCTGGTATCGTGGCATATGCTGAACGCTGCCCTGACCACAGTGAGTGCGGAAGCATCTCAGCTCTGTCTGCTCCGTTTTCTCTGAGTCCTCTCTGACCCGATCCAAGAGAAAAATGTGCTGCAATATTGGCCGTCTTCTGTTGGTGTTGCTAAGTTACAGAATATTTTGCCTTGCCTTGCCCAGAAAACTGTGCTAATTGTGTTTAAAGAGATAAACCATGTTCCGGAACATCTTCGTATGTGCCCTAAATGTACTGAGTATTTTTGTAAAACAAATTTTGTTCTTTCCTTTCTCTCTCAAGTACAATTTGGAGAGAGATATACTAACACATATTATTAGTATTAAAGCAGAAAAGTATCGTTTTTAGAGTCTTGGGGAGCTGCGCGTGTGCACACGCAGGCAGACACGTGCATCCTGGTAAGGCCGCCTAGAAGGGAAGAGCCTCACGCTCTGAAAGGGGTGTTGACATTGAACAGAGAACACGATGGATCACGATTCTGCCGGTGAAGGCAGGGTGGGTGGAGAGGCAGGCGATTGTCTGGTCGCTGTGCTTAACCCACTCAGGCCATCTGTTTTAGTCCTCTTTTCAAAACAAAATATTTCTGAAAGGACTTAATGTATTTCTTGAAGATTCTGAATAATAAAAAGATGATAGAGGAAACACAATTTTATATAAGGGCGGCGGAAGCATGCTCAGTATCAGGGCTGGGCTTTAGGGAGGTCCTGAGACACAGGGCCAAGGAAGGGCCAACGTTCTGGCTCTGCGGCTGTCTCCATGCTCCTCCTGCTAGCGGCGTTTGGCACAAGGCTTACCTGCTCTGAGCCGCTGAAACAGCGGTGGGATGTGTATACCCATGTTGCCATGGAATAAAGCAAAACTTCACAAAGCTGGGATTCAATACGATTCTCCTAGGATCTGTTGGCTTTATTAATTTCTTTTTCTTTTCCCACTTCCTTTCCTTTTTCAAGACTGGCGTGGGGGAAGGCGACAAATTCAATTGCTCAGCAATGGTTCTGTCTATGGATAGAAACAGCAAGAGAGGAGGAAATCCAAGCCCTAGGATGTATGCTTTCTTCTTGCACATGTTTGCATATTTGCTTCTACAATCAGCACTGGCTGTGAATGAAGACAAACTGGAAGACTCAGGACCGTTTGCAAAGAATCACCTGCGCACACCCCAGCCGTCTAATCTGTGACAGGAAGCCGTGGAACTGGAGGACTGCAGTCCCCTTCCAACTCCTGCGTCCTGCCAATGTTTCACAGGCTGCTGCTGCTATTGTATACATATGTTTGTATGTATGTATTCACTTATTTATATCCCAGGACTAAATAAAAATTAGATAAATAGTCCAACACGTTGGTTCTTTGCCCATTGTAGTTTGGGCAATTCCTCCAAAAATGAATGACCTCACTATATTTTAGGCAGTAGAGGTTTTGCTGAGGTGTGAAAGGTAATGATTTTTGTGAACATTTAACAGAGAATATGTAAGCTGATGACACCAGGGGACTCAGAACCTATCCTGTCTAAGCAGTAAGAAAGGGAAGCACTGTGTACCGAAAACGGGAAACCCAGAGCTTTCACTGCTCGGAAAAGATACATAGCACATTTCCTTTTAGCTTTCTTAGATAGAGCCTGGGATAGGGGAGAAGATGTAACATTCAGAGAAAGGTGGGATGCGGCATACACCATTGTTCTCCTTTTGAAATTAATTGAAGCTTCTTTTCCTAAGCATATCAGTATTCATGTACTTTTCAAGTGTGATGTTCAAAAAATCATGCAACTTTTTACTAAATCTAAAGATACTTCAGGTAATCTCTCAGTTTTATACATGCTGTATTCCTCAAAACTTTTCTGAAAGTAGACTATCTGAAAATTAGGCAACAAGGTTGTGTGTATGTGTGTGTAAGCGTGTATGAGAGAGAGAGAGAGAGACAGAATGATGATTAGTGGGTTACCACACTTCTATGACTGGTGGAGTCAGCAGTTAGGTAACTTTGGGGGTGCCCTGTGCGAATTCTGTGTTTAATGCTAGTGTCTATGCAGACAGCTTCCTGAGTTCGCGCATCTACCAGCCCTGCTGTGGGCGGTCTGCTATTTAAATGCCTGCTCCCACTGTCAGAGACCTGAAGCTGGGACGATGGAGAGGAGTGGGTCCTTGCCCATCACAGCCTTATGACCTCGGAGGTCACCAATCCTGGAGCGGAGGACAAAAGCCAAGTTGGAGTCTGGTCTTGGGGGTAAAGTATCTGCTGGGTTCTGTGGCCCCCAGGACTAAGCAAGAACCACGTCTGATGTGCGTGGTCACCAAGGCCTGTGGGGCCCCCATGGTGGGGAGTTGGGATGCAGTGGAACAAGGGGTCTTTTTAGGCATGACCTAGCGCCACAGGCTGTGGCCAGTGCCCACTGCCTTTCTGTCTGAGGCTGTTTATTATTAGCTCTGCAGATACTTGCTGGACGTATCCCACGTGCACCAGTTACCACCTGAGCTAAAAGGCATCCATTGCTGAGTTGCTGAAGGGTCATCAAGGACTCATTTTGCAGCTGAGTAGACTGTTTGGCACGCAAGGGCCACCTCGATAAAATTTTTCTTTTTATGCACAGCAGTTTCGAGAGAATGAATTGTCTTAATTATCTGAATTTGAGAAGAAAATTAACCAGAGAGTCTTTGCTAGGTTTATTTGCATTTAGCGAATTTCACTTAAAAAAATACGACAATAATGCTTCACACTCATCTCTGTAATCCATCTGGTACTCAAAGCCTCAAACTGCTTTGTAAGAAGACTTGAGTCTCGTGACTTTTGTCTGAAGAAATGGTTGCAAAAACAAGTGAACACTGTTCCCAGAGTGTCCCTGCAATTCGATAGTAAAGCAAGACTTCCTACTCCAAATACACAACCAGATGCGTTTTCCCTGTGCCCCCCAACTGCTCTGCCCACCACCCTACCCCTGACCCGACCCTTCTTTCTACACATTCCTAAAGGTGGTGTGGACGAGGCCTTTTCCTGTGAAAAGTCATAGGAGTTTGATGACCCACTAACCACGCATTCCTTTCTCCCTCCCTCCCTCCCTCTCTCTCTCTTTCTCTCTCTCTCTCTCTCTGATTTATCCAAGTGTGTTCTTGGATGTGGACAGACAATTGCCTCCTGGTCACTGCTGTGTTCTCAATATTTCAGCCATCTATGGATGATGGGGATAGTAGCAACTGAATTGTGCCAGTTGGTAATCGCTTCAGTAAAGGCCCCAGGGAAGATACAGAACAGAAGCAACCAGGAGCAGATCCTCACGGAACCCCCAGCCAGTGATGAGGATCACTGTGCCCTGGAAGCGCAGACACAAACAATCTTCATGTTGACCTTGTTCTGGGGCTCATTCTAAGCTATCTCTGAAGAAAACCATTGCCTAGTCGGGAGCTGCTGCTACAGAAATAACCACAGTCAAGGAAAACCCTACACCCAAGTCAACTCAAGGTATCAGGGAATAAGATGAAAAAGAACTGTGGGGCTGCCATTGACTTTTAAAATCTCCTCTTTGTATTCTATATTTTCAGAAAACAATTTCAACATCAAGCATGAAGTTTATGATGAATATAGGAAATAGAAGGATAGCGAGGATTGAGGATTTTGTTTATGGGAAAGTACAACTGTTCTGATATTTCAAAACAGAAGAGGGAAAACAAAATAACTGTTCTTTGGTGATAAGAGAAATTTTTAGTGTCCCCACTACACACACACATACACACAGGCACACACATACACACCTGTGCACACACGTACCCCCTGCACATGCATATACACACATACACATGCACACACACAGAGGCACCTGTGCACACACACACGTACACAAGTACACACATGTACGCAAATACACACGTGGACATACACACATACACACAGGCACACACATACACACCTGTGCACACACATACCCCCTGCACATGCATATACACATATACACATGCACACACACAGAGGCACCTGTGCACACACACACCTACACACGTACACACATGTACACAAATACACACGTGGACATACACACATACACACAGGCACACACATACACACCTGTGCACATGCACACAGGCACACATATACACACCTGTGCACACACAGCTACACACACATGCACACATGTACACACACATACACATATGAACAAACACATAAACAGGCACACCTGTGCACAGAGACACACATATACATACATGCACACACACACATACACACAGGCACATCTGTGCATACACACACACACATACACACATACACATATACACATGCACATAGACACACACAGGCACTCACAAATACACACATGTATACACATCACATATACACACAGGCACACACGTGCACAAATATACAAACATACACACACATACATGCACAAAGAAGTGTGTTAATTTCTTTGACTGTGGTAATGAGTATACAATGTACCTATATAGGAAATCACATTTTACACCTAGAATATGCATAATTTTTGTCAATTAAATATTTTAAAATTTAAAAATATGTCCCTCAGAAAAAAATTAATAAACAAATATAAGTAGCAGATTGGTTCCTTAGCAATGTGAATATACTTAACACTGCTGAACTGTATACTTATAAACAGTTATGATAGTAAATCTTATGTGTATTTTACCATAATTCAAGATTTAAATGTTTTTAAAGTGAAAAAGAGGCTGCAATGGGGTTCTCACTTTGTGTTTCTCACCTCGTTTACCAGTAAGTAACCTGTCAGGGCTTTCCCAGGCATTCTGTGTGTCTATGCAGGCAAATTGGCTTGAATGTCCATGTTCCAACAGATCCCTTCCTCTAATATGTGGAACACTCTGGAATCACTTCCCCATGGGCTCCAGCTCTCCCTTTGCACCGTGCTCCTGGGCAGTCTTGAAGACGCTTTCATGTAGAAGAAGCCCAAGGGTTTCTTCTGACCTTTGCTCCTGAAATCGCAGCTGTGCTCACGCAGGTGCAGCCCAGATGGTTTTCTGAAACCGCGCCCTACCTCCCTCATCCTGACACCAGTGCTGTAAGACAGATGTCACTGCCCCACTGGACAGGTGAGGAGCCGAGGATGCAGGAGTGGCCCAGATCAGCTGGCCATCACTGCATGGTGGGGCTGAGGCATAAAACGATGGCAAGGACACCTGCCTCCCAAGTGACCCGCTCAGCATCCAGTTCTGTAATTGTTTTTCTGTGAATGCATGGTTTACTTTTTACGTTTTGGA